CTATAAGAGCTCGATAATAATAGAGGATCACAGTTAATTGATCATTAGAAGAAGGGAATGAAGTTATGAAAAAGGAAGTTGAATGCAACAAAGATAGTAAGAATAAGTATCCAATGCATGCGATGTCGTCACTTCATTCATTTCATCGCCGTTCCAAATAAGCATGTCAGATTCACGTTTGCCCATCTACTCTTCGGATAAGTTAGAGACAAACGTAGAAGCCAACAGGAAATGTGTTACTACGACAGGACTGTCGCAGAACAATTGGGGAACTAGGGATAAGGATATACACCTGGACAAACCCATCACACTATGGCCCTCGTCGTACCACGATGTGTTCATATCCTTCATGTCTCTAGAGATTCCGTCGAGCACTTATTCAGCAAGAAAACCAAAAAGTTAGCTGCAACATACAGAAGGACCCATGACTTTTCACTTGTCTTACAAATGCATGCATTTACCACCAGATTCAAACATGCGCAATTAACACGACGAAAAAATGAAGAATATACAGCCGTACGGACAAGCTGCAAAGCTAGAGAGCTTGTCAACATACTGCATCGTAGAACCATTGACCGCTCTCCTCTGATTACCGAAATGAACCAGCTGAAATCTGTGAAGCATTCAGTGACTTTTTGCCTCTACCATGAGTTGCGAAGCTGAACTGTTGGCTGTGTGCACAGAGATCACAATAACAAACCCCTTAAGCAGAGTCGATTTCTCGCTCAACGATATCCATCAGGTTATCAAACCAATCAGGCCACTTTCCAAGCTGGGATCTAATGGCATTTCACCAACAACAATCAAACTAGGAGGGCCTGATATGCCATTGCTCCCGATGAGCATGTTCACTCTATCGTTGGAATCTGGACTTTCCAGACCAAGGAAAAACATCGTTTATTATGCCACGGCATAAAGGAGGTCCAAAACAAACGAGTGATAACTACTGACTTATGCACCAAACTCCGAGAACTGCTCGGCTATTTGAAAAGCTGGTCAAAATGGAGATAATGAACATTGTTGATCCTATTGACTTGATAAATAATTAGCAGCATGGTTTCCTCAGTAAGCGATCGTGCACTACCTGTCAACTGCATTACCCTAATCACATTTCAGAATCAATCGATTCCGGTCATGCAGTAGTAATCATTCGACACCACACAAGCGACTGCTACAAAAGTTGGAGAACTTTGGGATCCGAGACCCATTGCTAGGTTGGGTATCGTCATACCGAAGTGATCGTCATCAGGTAGTCAGCCTAGGTGATTATCGCTCTTCCTAACGCCTCATCATCAGTAGGGTCATTCAAGGGAACGTGCTTGGTCCATCACTCCTTTTACTCTACACCAATGCCATCACCACATCTGTAAAACATGGTACGCCATTTTGATTTGCTGACGATATCAAAATAGTCTATAAGCTTCGGCGTGACGAGCTTCACAGGACAATACTGCTCATACAAAATGATTTACATTCTCTTGAATCACGGTGCTGCACATGGGTGATGAACCCCTCGGCTAAGAAATCAAGTATCATGTCTTACGGCTGCTGCACGCCCCAAAGGATCTATCACTCTAAACAATGAACGCGTCTCTACATAGTTGTCCATGCGAGCTCTTGGAATTAGGTACTTGTCTACCTTCAATTTCTCCGAACAGGCATAATACCAAGTAGCGCGTGCCAGACAGTCTATGTACAATATATCAAACAAATACACACAACTCCTGCTAGAGTTGAGTATTGCAAGCTACTCACTCGCCCCACCCTCGAATATTGCAGCATAATATACGGAAATATAAGAATAAGTGACAGAATTGCTGTGGAGCACCTGTAGAGGTCATTTACTAAACATCTTATCTGTAAATTCTCTGCAACAAGTTATCGAGAAGGCTGTGATGAATTTCATCTCGAAGCACTTTGAATTCGGCGATTGAAGCACAACTTGTTGCTGCTTTTCAACATATCACACAAAAAGACCTACTCTAACCTGCCTACACACAATTTACAACAATGCTCAACTCGAGCGCTTTGCAACGAAGGTTTTACACTGAATATACCGAAGACCAGAACGAACATCCGCTCTAATTTCTTCCTGGTCAGATACAGCTATCTGTGGAATAAACTACCAATAACACACAGGTCATGTAACAATGTGGCAACATTTAGAAGCAGACTCTCCAATTACCTTGATCTAACTACCATAACATCTATACTCACAGTGGAAAGATCCCTCGATGAGCTATTCCAAGAGGGATCCAAAAACATATAAACACCAAAGTTGTCATAACCAGGCTTTGCCCCCAACCATCCAGCCGAATGTGAATACATGAAACGCATATTCCAATACTCCACCTATGCAGGTCACCCATGCAAGAGCATGGATTCTTCTGTACAAATTGATCTGTGCCGCTATAGACAATTTCTCTTATTAAGAGAAACATATGTATTATTATTAGTAGTAGTAGTAGTAGTAGCAGAAGGAGACAAAAGGAGCAGAAACCATGGAAGACTTAAGGGTAGAAATTAAGCACAGAAGCGCCTGTGTCCGAGAAGGCTGATTACCCTGCCAATATGTAGAGGATACCCGGCAACTTGAAATACATACGACATAAAACTGATTACGGGGTTGGAGTGGCTTACCATCATAAATATTCGCTAGTCTAACGTGAAGGTAAGTGTGAACACGCTTGGATCGCCAAATATTACATGCTCCAGCGAGATGAATCCAAAGAGTTGCGCAGTAAGACGGTTTTAACATGGCAAACTCAGAGGTACGGGGGTTGAAACGCAGCAAATCGCAATCGCATACATACCCCGAACAGGACAGGTAAGTGTAATTCGTCGCCCCCTCCCCCCCCCGGCCAATCACATGGAATTGGAACCGGGCCAAACAACGGTAGAACCCAGAAGATAGACAACCACAGATAGACAACGGAAAGAGCATGTATTCACACATACAGAAAGAGACCATGGAGCAACAATTCGGTTTGAGGTCTGGCTCGATTCCAAGACAGCGTAAATATGGAAATTGGAAACTAACTCCGAATGTGTAAAAACAACTACGGACAAAAGAATGAATTCCAAGCGGAGACCAGTAAGACTACTTAGCATATTTGGAGCGAAACCATGGTAATTGGAAAGTGATTTAAGACAAGAAGCGTTATAGAAAGTCACAATATGAGATGTGGCCGCCGCTACCAAGTGTTAGTATAATGGGAGAGTAAAGTTTGGTTCAGTATGATTCAACGACTACTATGATCAGAGCATCGAAGGGCAAAAGGTCCAGTTGAAGATGATGGCATTGGCAGCACAATAGTGGCTAACAAACGGGGTAGAAAGAAATGGAGAGTATGATCAAAATGGTCCCATTGAAATGTTAACGGCTAGAGGCAGGAGACTGATTGGCGACCAGAGGCAAGAGCCAACAGGAACTGTCTCAGTGAAAAAAACAACTTAAAGCCTTCAAGAAGTTCCGCCTGGACCCTAAATGACCATTTTCATCTATTACACAATGACGATGCAAAACGCGCTGTTCTTTTCTTCTAGGTGTTCAAAATCTAATGCTTTACTTTCTCGCAGTTAGCCACTGCGTAAAACTGTCTTGCGTTACAGATCACGTTTGATTCCTGACCTAGAATGGTCATGCTGCGTGTGCGACTGTTGGGTTGACAGATGTTTTATAACTTCGAAGGTTTAGAATAGAAATAGTCTTTGTATGGGGTTTTTATTGAATATATGTTATAGTTTGCATCTTTTCACTAGAATTATCCTCCAATGCATCCGGATCGGTAGTGAAAAGGGGAAAATGAACCTGACAGGGTATATAAACTCTATTTTAACTTGAGTTGGCAAATGTAGATTAAAACCTCGTCCAATCGCAAAGGACCAGACAGCGCTGTGGGAGAGATCAATCCCAAACCAAGAGACTTGACGACGTTAGTGCTGTAGAGCTGAACCGCCCACACCTGCTTCAAGCTTGACAGTCCGGTACCTATCAAAACTGCGCCCTAAGGCGACAACGCAGGAGATGAATGACCATGTTGAGTGAAAAAGTAGGTGGGTCTGGGAACTGTGATCTGACGTAACGAATGAAGTACGATCAGCGTGGATTACGCAGTAGATCCGCTCCAAAGCCAGCGAGGTAATATCAGGTAAAATAAGGATTAGAAAGCACTTCGATGCGACAAAAGGGAACCAAGAAAATGGGTTCAGTGTAAGTGGTCAGCCTTTTACAGCACAATGAGTTGCAGCGGATGCCATTGTTGTAGCACATATTGGTATGGTGATACAAAGAGATAGGAAAAGGAAGAACAGAAAAGCAGTCCAAATGCCGACTGGAAAGTTGAACTGCAAGAGGCTAAAAGGGTACTGGAGCAACTGACCTGGTGAATGAGCCAAGTTACGCAAGGGAAATTAACCGATGGGGTGGTCGATGGCTAAGAGCCACCATTGTTAAAGACGAATGGATTCCGTACTTTCGATGCAACTTGCGCACTCTGTAGTTGTTTCATAATGGATATCCTGGGGATCAACTAAGCTAGATGGTGGAGATTCTGTTGGCAAACACACACACACAGAATAGGCAGGCAAAAGCGGTTCGGCGACGAAAATTACAGGTGCCCATGTTTCCGATGCATACAGTATTACTCGCACCGCGATGTGCAGGGTTGTTCGTACTGTGATTGACCAGCAGACTAAGACGACCAAGTCGCTCGTGGACGTAATCGTAGAACCAGATGATATCACGGATCGAAGGTGTCCTATCATCGCTGACCACTGAGCGTTGTATACAAACGAACTACCATTCCGATCCGCTCTGTCTAGTAGAATCAAGTAGTGGAATCATGATGATTAGTCAGCAGTACAAGATGACAAGCCAAATTCAGAATTAGCCATGGAGTGAACTACGTGCGTACTTAGCCTCAAGAACGAATTGGTGACCCCGTAAACATTGACATTGCATCCGCCCTGAAACTACGACACCGTAAACACACACTCACCGATGAGCTTGTGTAGTCGATCCGAATAGGGAGACGAATCCGGAATGCTGTAATTGCCCGATTGGATGGCCAAGGAACTCTCTCCAAAAGGTAATGTAGTAAAACAGAGAAAATACAGCAGACAACCCAGCGCCCAAATATCAATCTGGAGTCCGAGGGGAATGGAGCTGTGCAAGTTGACCATTTCCGGTGCGCGATACGCCAGTGTGGTGTACCTGCGAATTGTGGCAGAATAACATGGTAGGCAATTAAGCGAGTGTGCCCACGATAGCATGCACTCATCATCATCATCATCATCATCATCATCATCATGTCATCCAAAAGTAATAAAAGCTCCACCAATTAAGACACAATAGAAAAAATAAAATATAGATCGAAACGAGATACAAACATCACAAAATAGGGTCATAAACAGGGAAACTAGCAGTATCATATTATGCACCAAGAATGAGGTCGTGGTAGGAAAGCGGAACATAGAGGGTGGAGGAGGGACAAAGAAGCGATACAAAAGTCACTGAGGTCAGCTCATCACCATAGCAACAAGTGTATCCAATCAGTATTCATCATCCTTAGGACTCCAGCAAGGCAGTCTGGAAACATCAATCGACGTCAAGTCCGAAGTAAAAACCTGCATAACTCTTGAGTAAATCATCGCTTGGCCTCACTTCCATCGACAACCAAGGAGCCGAAAAGTAACACTGATCAGACCACACAGTTGGACTGTGCCTCGTACCGCCGAGGAATGTACCATTTATTTATCTATTTAACGCACGTCGCGGGTCGTTATGCCGATGTGTCCAGCCATCGGAGCCTGGTGCGTGATATACTGGTGCTGAGCGGTACACTCGCTCCTCCTGCATCAAATACACGACGCCGAACGCGCTCATTGCTGACCCGGTGTTCACATCAGACAAGAGCTAAGCTGCGAAGGTAGCGATGATCCAACGTAACTAGCCACTTAGGGTCTGTCGATCCGATAGAACATGTTCCGCAACTGTACAGGAGAGTTGAACGCACGGCTGAATTGTAAACTATACCCTTCAGAGCGAGAGTGATATCGTGCCTGTGCGACAATCTCCGCCACCGGCGATTTAAAATGATGTATGAGATCCTTAATAAACCCAACCATACATGCCACTATCCGTTGAAACTCAGCCGAAACACGTCTCTGAGGGGCCCGCAGTTGAAGCTGGCTACACAGTACAGTCGACTGCAATTTGATCGAAACGTCTTCTTCCTCCGAGTGTCACAGCTCTGTAACTCCCTCTGGGTGACGTAATTAACGCTCGAGCTTATTCCTAAGAAAAACACGTCGAAGCGATACACTACGTGACCATCTGAGGATGGTGTTACTGCAGAACAAACAGTGGACGGTTTCATAATTCTCATACATGTGCTGCGCCGAACCTCTTTGTGAGTCATGGATCCCGTAGATTCCTTGTAAGCCAACACTAATTTATTTTATGAAATTCTCACCCTAACCACCCTACGGGGCTTGTCAAGCATTTGCTTTCATACCCGCTATAAAACAGCACTCCGCAATCAAACGTCGGAAGCTCAACCTATGCGAACAAGGACCTGGTTGATCAGCATTGCCATTGCTTTGGTAAGGTGTAGTAGGCTCCGTCACTGGAGGCGATGACTACGATCGCTATAGGTTTCACAGCTTTTAACACCATTTGGAACACTGAGGAGGTGCCCTCAGACTGGGGGCTGTCAACCGTCGTGCCCAACTTCAAGAAAGGTCAGTGCATTTTGTGTGAAAATCATCGAGGCATTAGCCTTGTTTCCATTGCCTAAAAATTCTCACAAGAATTATTCTTCGACGACTTACTGGTCCTCGTGAGAACCTAATCACTGAAAGTTTGGGTGGCTTCCACATATTTACTCTTCGCCAAGTTATAGAACATAGACACACATACAGGTGACCGACTATGGCGGTTTTCCTTGACTTGAAAGCCACTTTCGACTCTGTTGACCAAGCCAGCTTGTGGCACTGCCAACCCATGAAGGGCGTGGCAGCTTTGCTATTATGCAATCTCCCCTCCGTGACTCCCGAGGTCGTGTAAATTTCTACGAGAAACTCTCTCCTGAGTTCCCCACGACAAGTGGAGTTCGCCAAAGTTGTCTTATATATCCTCTTCTCTTCAACTTTGTTATCGAAATGATCACGAACCAATGGTTTCTTCCAGAATCCACTGGAGTGGAAGTTATGTCGCGAAACCGACTGATGAACCTTCAGCATGAGGACTACATACACCTCCTTGAGTCTGACAAACTGGCTATGCAAACACTAATGGATAGACCGGTGCGTTGCGCTGCACGCTTCGGCATGTGCTTCGAAGCTTCAAAGTGCAAAGTACTGTTGCAGGACAAGACTGGCACACCACAAGAGTTAGCTATCACCGAGCAGCCAATGGAAGTGGTGGATCCCTTCACTAACCTTGGTAGCTGTGTCAAATCTGGTGGTCACATCACCTTCGAAGTTACTTCGCGTGTCAGAACGACCCGTGTGACTTTCCAGAGGCTCAAGCATCTATGGAAACGGTGGGATATCAGCCTATCATTGGAAGGTAGAGTGTATAATGCGGCGGTAAGACTGACATTACTTTACGGATCAGAGACCTGGTCAGTTCGCGGCGAAGACATTAAACACTTGGCCGTGTTTGATCACCGGTGCTTGCGGAGTATTGTTCACTTCTGATAGGAACACGGAGTGAGCAATGCTGAGGTCCGTAAGTTGATTTTTGGTAAAATGCCCTCTGGTGCCTCGCTCGAGTGTATGAGAGAGCTTAATCGCTTCCGTTGGCTAGGCCATGTCCACCGTATGCCTCTTGATCGGTTTCTTCGGCGTGCATTATACGCCGTGGCTGCACCTAGTTGGGCGAAACCTCGAGGTGCTCTGTTCATGACGTGGCATAAGGGCATGAAAAAATTGACTGGCAGACTTGGTCAGGCTGGTGCGTGAAGTTTTCGTGGATGGGATCCTCGGGATAGTGCACACCAATGGTTGGAAACCGTATCAGATATGGTGCAGTTAGGTAGTCAGTGGCGTTCCTGCATTCATTTGCTTGTATCTGGTTGTTAACATTCCGATTGCTCTTGTCAGTCGCTACGCAATACAGGCAGAAAAAAACACGCAATATATAGGGTCCACACTTAGTAACATAGATAAGCAGATAAAAATGACGGGAATGACGTAATCAGGACCAAGGCAATCGAATTGATTGTCTCAGTTGTTTCTGGGCACAGAGTACGGGACACTTCAACCTTATCAGTAGCGCCTCGCCAATTGCCAACAACGCCGGGTTCCTGTTGCGCAATAGCACTTTGAATAAGTCGATTGGGTTCACCTGGTGACGAGTCAGCAAGAGGTGTTTGGAGATAGACGAGGCAGGGTTCAAATTCATTCCTTGTTTCGCTCCGCCTTGGTTAGACAGCAACTGCTTTAGCCACAATGGGAAGTGTTCCGCCACCCTTTGAGCCAGCCGGCGACCAGCCTTGCCTATGTAAGTGTCACCGCAACTGCAAGTGAACTGGTAGATGATGTTAGAGGCCGAACTGATTGGCGCGCTGCTCGAACGGATGTGGAGAGGAATCCTTCGTTCGTTCATTTTTATCTGTTTATCTATGTTACTAAGTGTGGACCCTATATATTGCGTGTTTTTTCTGCCTGTATTGCGTAGCGACTGACGAGAGCAATCGGAATGTTAACATATCGCAACCTCTGTCTTCTTATCTCTGGTTGTCAATTTTCAATCATTTCTGATTAGTATAATGCAAATCCTTACTTCCATGCTATTTGCATCAAATCCCACTATCTTAACGTTGTTATTTATTGTTATTCATGCGATGTGAGTCGTGGTAACTGGACCTAGCGCACTTCGGTGCTCGGATCATAGTTGTTCAACCGAACTGAACTGAACCCGTGTTGATCCCCTGTCGCGAACATACATTCAATCTTACATAGAACCGACAGACAGATAAAGCGAAATATAGTGGATTCATGTTACCCTGTGAAACGTTGTCCGCTCCAACTATTTCAAAACGCTCTGGAATGGTCACCGGCAAGGTGGCGCGAAGCAAACTGCATGCAAGCACACTCAAGATGAACAATAAGCGTTGCAGGCAAGCAGTACTACCCGACTGAGGTAGTTGCGGTAGTGGGCAGCATTGAACAACGCAGTGCGAAGATAAAAGACCCCGGCATGGCACCAGCTGAGTGATTCAGGTTTCTCCCGTTCCAGGAAATGGTTCGGCAGCAGTGTTCCAGGATGCGGTGGGTTTTCGCTTGTCAAGTATTACCTTAATAGAAAGCTACATATGTCTGTTTAACAATCCTGCATCGTGACGCATGCAATTCGTCACTAAATAAAGTTACTGTCCATTGCTTCACTCCGGCGGATCCCCGTATGCCAACAGCCTCTTGCTGGAATTGTGGAGAGGATTAGACTCCTATATGGCAACCGACCAGACGAAAGCGGTATGAACTGAGCAATCAGGTACTGGTTCCTAACGGTCGCGATTCCGTGACTTCGCTTCGCTGCTATGCAAGTAGGTTGTTCAGCCAGTCTCGCGGTGGTGTCCTCAGACAACTGCCGACTTGGGTTTGGGCTATTGTGACCTCTGAAAAAACCATGGATTCCTGTGTTCTGCTCCAGTTTCTTTTCACGACAACTGCATCTTCTTTTGATCTCCGAGGTTTTCGATGGTTCTCTATCAGTACAGCTGCACTTTACTTGTACACACCATTTTTGGCATTTCAAACCTAATCACGGTTCACTGGCAAAAACGAGAATGCTTCCTCCCCCGGTGGACGATCTGAGAGATGAATGTACAACTCGAAGACAAGTGTGCCAAAAGAAAATCTCGCCATTAATTGACCGATCAATTCAGTTGGTGATGGAAAGGTTATCCTCTCATGGACATCTAATAATGGTGAGTGATCCCAACAGTCTTGTAGGCTACCGTCGCGATTCCGGAAGCGGATTGTGGGTTCCAATTTATATCGAGTTAGGAGGAAGATTGGAACCTAAGAGTCCGGCAAAAAACACTGGACGGTTCTCTAATGTTCTTCCGGAGGTGAAGTGGCTACCTAATTGAGCGAGGTGGTCTCAATCACGGACTGGCAACAGTCGAGTTGCGGGTTCGAGCCCTACCAAGGGTCCGATGGAATGCGCACTGCTGATGATTTTCGAAAGGATGAAACGCGCGT